GGGGGGGGGGATGGCTGGGAGTCCCAGCCCCCGCCCCACCCCACCTAGCTTTTGCACGTGACCACAGGGCTCCCAAAGCCAATCACGCCCTACCTCCCAGTCGCTCCCCCACCCTCACCAGGCTTCCCTCCAGCGCCCCACCGGAAATTCACAAAATACCGGACATTGCACATGTCCGGTATTTTCAGAATTTTTCTACCGCACAGACGGTGCAAATACCGGACTGTCCAGTAGAAAACCGGACACCTGGCTGGACCAGAGAGTTCCAGTTTATAAAGGTGCAACCTGTATATATTCTTTCCACAGTAGTTCCTGTAAAGTGAAATTAAGAATACCTACCTCCATTTTCTTCTCCATTACTATTGTTTGTCTCAGCCATTTCAGTGCCATCTAACTCAGATTCACATCCTAAATCCAATGTTCCATCTGCTGGGCATGTAGATTCTTCTTTCTGCAGTTTTTTTTAAGGATGGGAGAAGGAGAGGAAAAAAAGTAACATAAGGCCAGCCACAAAAGTGTTTATATTACCGTTCAGTTTCCCCAAAGGTAAACTGTTCTAGACACCCAAATGTGTTGCATTTCAAAAAACTAATCTGCTTCCTGTATAAGAGTTACTTTATGGATTTTCAAGTTCTCACATAAAGTCACAATTTAGACTTTTATAAAAAAAAGTTATAAATCAAAATGTACTTTCTTTCATTTTTTGTGTTTGAACAGGCTTATTTGGCACTTAAAAATTCTAGTCATCTAGCTGAACATCCTAACAGCTGAAAAAGAAACACAAATCCTTTAATGTTTCTCTTTCGCCTGTGCCTGTTTCCTGAATTCAAATAGCTGCAGCAACCTGGAACTCACAAGCCATGGGAATGATTGCAAATACCTGGATTTGAGCCAGGGATATCTTCAGATTTAAAATAAGACCAAACTAAACACTCGTCCTTTAGCAAATGAGAAAACAATGATTCTGACATCCATTCATTTTTAATTAAAAATAGTGCATTTTTAGTTCTAAGGAGCAGCATTATTCATAATGCTTTTATTGTTTCTAAGCTGTGCACAATTATTTTTCTATTACAAATATCAAAGGATTTCCCCCAGAATTTCAATAGACTAAATCTAGTCTGCAGATGTAATTTCATATTATTGTTTTCTTGCCCCTACTTCACCCTTCCCCACTTCCAGTATGAAGCCACTATGGTTTGACCATTAGTATTAGGATTTTTTTTTGCCTAACCAACACAGCCTCCTCCCCAATATAGGATAAAAAAACCCCACAACTACAACAACCATCACCACCACTTAGTATCAAATGAGTCACGATTTTCTCTCTCTCATTATATTCCTGGATTTTAAATAATTTGTAACTTAAAAGTGATTTACACTGGAATTGCAACTATGTCTTCTACCATTCAAAAATTAAATCAACACAATTATTTTAGGAGAAAGCCAGTGATCCTCTTGAACTCACTATTTATAAAACAAAGTCCTTTCTGTTAACAACTCTGAAAAAGCTGTATTTAAGCTACAGCATGGTTTTCTTAGCACACAACAAATTCAAGAACACACCTACTCTTCCTGAGATAACAGTTAGTGCTTACTTTTATTGTAAGACATATGAAAACAGAAGACGACGTTCAGGTCATGTACTCCCCACAGAATCTAATTTTATCTTAGTAGATATAAAGACACACATACGGCTATTAATCCATTTTCTGTACTTTCTATCTGGAAAAATTCAACTTACTTTGAGAGCATAGAGTCCTGACTTCCCAGGGATTTTGAAGAATGTTCCATCACCCACACGAGTGTTAGTGTGAAGCATTGCATTCAGACAAGCTAATGGAGAGGTTCCACTGAAAAATAAAATTGTGTAAAAATAAAGCAGCCTAAGATCGAGTGCCTCTTGTAAAACTATTCCCTCTGTCTTTTTTTTTTAACTCCTGCTTGCCTTGCCCTTTTTTTTTTTTCCTCTCAAATTCTCCCAACCTTGAAAACATCTACATTACAATAAAGGGCCAGTTTCAAACTTAATCATATGCATCTGGCCCCTAGGCTTCAGGCAAAAAGTCTGTGAATTATAATTATGTCTTTCTTCATACAGCAACCAGTTCCACATTCTGAAGGAACCAAAGTCCAAATATTTATATGAAATTACTTCACAAATAACACCATGAAGCCTCATTTTCAAAACGTTAGAGACAATGTGGCTGCTTCACATGAATGATCAAAACAGTACCAAGTTCAAGGGCAGCTATATCCCATAGGATGAAAGGCAACAAAAGAATAATAAAGAGCCCAAGAAGAACACATTTAAACTTACAGGAGTTCAAATTACTTAGGAGAAAACTGTCCTAACATAGCCAACATAAGCTACTATAAAAGCAAACATTCACATATTTAAATACTTTTAGTGGAGCAGTAATTACGTGTCATATCATTTTGGAATATACTTTAAAATACCTTTTTAAATGGTCAGATAAAACCAATTCCTTCATACGTTTAATTTGTACAAATACCTTTATGTAATCTATCACAGGACCAGATTTTACATGAAAGGGAAAAAACAAAGTGTACATTTGTGCCCTGGCTAAATTAATATTATTCTGAAAAATTAATTTGGAGGATAGTAAAGGTACAAGGAGCGCTTATAATTTTATCTTCCTTTATATTAATAGAACAACTGAAGTTAGATATAGGGTTTAAAGGTGTATTATCAAATCCATCTCCACATACACATTACAGTACTTTTGATTAGAGACTTAACTTCCAAATGTTTCTTCACAGATTCAAATCTTGCAAACACACATGCTTAACTTAACACACGTAAATAGTTCACTAAAGTCAATGGGACTGTTCGTGTGCAGAAAGTTAAGCATGTGGGTCTGGAGGACAGACTACATTCAGATAAATATTAGACTTAGGAACTTAAAACCCATCAGAAACTAATACGTTTCAGTTAGACAATACAAAACGTCTGCAGGGATTATGATTCAGAAGTCCATTATAATTTTTTAATTATACTGGCCCTTATTCAAAACTGTTTCAAAATGTTTTGGTAGATTTTATTGGTAGTAGCTAAATTCTATCCTCTGATGTGCACACTGCTTCTAATAAGTTCAATGGTTGCATCTCAAAGCAGAATTTTTCCATAATATATGTAAATTAACTTTATGAGAAAATGGATTATACAATTATCTATTGGTTGTTCCAGTAAAGCGTGTAAGTAGTTACAAGGTACCTTTGTAATAGAACAGCTATGTAATATAATTTATTATATGTTACCTAACATACCATACTACCACAATATCCACTTCTGTATTGACTTTCAGACTACGTACATAAGGCTTCTTCATGAAAAACACAATACTACAGCTAAAACTGTTACTTATAGGTCTTCATGTCAAATACTAAACTGTAAATTTAAAAAAAAGATACAACATAACATTTTTAAAGGATTTCTTCTTTGACAAATGTATTTTTCCTGAAAATAAAAGAATTCTGTGTGATTTTGAGCTGATACAATACTATGTGACCAGTCTATAATGTGAATAAATTATAAATACAGTTACTGCACTAGCAGTAAAATGGAATACATTAAATTGCCTTGTTACTGTTTTAAGATCAGTGAACACAGACTTTAAAGAAGATGCATGCCTTTCTCTAGAAATTTTCTTATTGAATTACTGGTTCATATAACAGTGACATATGGCATTTAACTAAGCAATACAAAGCCATTTTTCTCAAGCTATATTTTTCAGGGTGATAGCATATACAACTTAAAGCTACTGATAATTATGTCAGATTCTTGAAAATGTTGTCAGAAAGGAAGGC